GGGGAGGGGAGGGGAGGGGAGGAAAGGGAAGGGAAGGGAAAGACCCCACAAATATGGATACAAACTGTCACAGTGGCACTGGATTATAATCCCAGCACTCTGGGAGGCTATGGCAGGAGGAGAGTCCCAAATTGGAGCCCAACTAGCAAGACCTTGTCTCAAAATAAAAAATAAAAAAGATACTGGGGATGCAGTTCAGTTGAAAGATCCCAAGTTCAATTCCCAGTACCACAAAATAATAGAGTAGGAGTAGGAGAGGAAGAGTAGGAGGAATTTAGTACATTTAGTTCACCTGAAGAATTTAGTAGAGGAAGAGTAGGAGAATGAAATAAATGAAGGAAATTCAAAAAAAAAAAATTTCCCTGGTCTATTAAATATCAATTAATTTGAGAATTAATCTGAAAAACAAAAGTGCAGGAATTAAAAAACTCAGTAGAAAAAGTTCTACACATGTACAACGTTATAAATGATAAACACAAATTAATAGGAGTGCCTCTGAGGCATGTAAAACTGAGCTGGACAATACAGAATTTTAAGAAATTCTTAGCTGGGGCCAGAGATATAGCTCAGCAGCACAAGAGCCTGCCCGCCTAGTGCAAGGTCCTGAGTTCAATTTATAGTATCAGAAAAAAAAAAAAAAAGAAAACCCAAAAAAGTGCAACCCCAGCACTCTGGAGGCTGAGGCCAGAATGGGACACATAGAATTAAAAAAAAAAATTACTAACCAGTTAAGGAAATAGCTTGAGTTAATGCACTGGTTGCATGTACAGTCCTTAATTATTTGTCTAAATTTCAAGGAAATTCTTCATTCCCTGTATTTTCAAATTATTTAAAATTTCCAAAGATCCTCTTCTTAGCCATTCCTTTCTGAAAAATACTTCCAGGCAGTCTAGTATCTATCTTTTTGTTTTTGCTTTTTACTATGTAATTTAAACTGGCCTGGAATTACGTAGCCCAGGCTGTCCTCACACTCACAGTGACTCTCATGCCTCAGCCTCCTGAGTGCTAGGACTACAGGCATGTACTACCATGCTGGTCAATCTTATTTTAAAACATACTTTTGAGAAAGATAATTCATTACAACATTCTGAACTATATAAGCATCCTGAATTTTTCCAAATGGGGTGGGGGATACTGACCTAAATGTCGAAAATCTGATTTTCTTTCCTGAGAATCATAAATGAAAACGGAAAAGGATTCCAGAATAGTGAATAATCCACTTCATCTTCATACCAGAGGCTGATCCTCCTTTCTTCTCACTCCTGTCTCTGTCAAGGCTAGCTAGCCTCAGTGCTTTTCTCAGATGACCGCTGATGGCTCCTGTGTCCATTTTCTTTTCATTTTTGTTGTTTTTGCAGTATGGAGACTCAGGGCCTCTAGGTAAGCATTCTACCACTGAGCTACAACCCCTTAAAATCATATTTTGAAAGAGGGTCTTGCCAAGGATGGCTTTGAACCTGTCTTCCTTCTGGCTCAGTCTTTAGAACAGGTACAAGTGGGATTGTAAGCATATTTCACCATGTCTGGCTCCACTTCAGTTTTTTACCTCAAGAGTTTTGCCCTTGCTGCCTCCTAGCCTGGACCACTCTTCTCTCTTTACCTGTTAGGTCTTTCCTCAAATGTTAGCTTACCCATAAAGCTTTCTTGGGGACTCAAAGTTAAGCCCCTCCCAGCACTTGAGAGGCGAGGCAGGACAACTCTTGCAAGTTGGAGGCCAGCCTGGGCTACATAAGTTAGTTCAAGGCCAGCCTGAACTGCATAGTGAAACTCTGTCTCAAAAAGAAGAAAAAAAAAAAAAGAAGGTTAACCTCCCCGCAACCCCTAATGGTCTTCTACTTCCATTTCATGTTTCCCATGTCAGTTACTACTTTACAGATGGCCCCTGACTTGAAACATGGGACTTATGACTACGGTGCAAAAAACAATGCACGTTCTAGACTATGGATATGTAGTACTCTTGGCAATGCTAGAACTGCTCTGGGTCACATGACCATGACGGAGAAACTTAGACTCTACTGTGGACTGTGCTGCTAAGTTGTAACGTGCAGTTAGGTGAGGCGTATTAAAATCGTTTTTCAGCTTACAATGGGTTTATGGAGATACAATTCCATCATTAAGCTGAAAAGCATCTGTATCTTTTACCTAAGTATTTATCTGTCTAGAAATGAGCTCCAGAGAAGAAAACTACCTGTTTTTCTCCTAGGACCCAACAGTGCAGTAACTACTCAAAATTTGCCAAATAAATGAATGAATAAAAGGAAACAATCCCTTCTGCCTACCCACACTCTAAATTATCAAAAGGGTGTGAAAGTCCTTTCCTTTCTGGTGAAGAAGTACTATCACCAGTGTGCTCCTGTGCTAAATGTCTCAGTATCATGTGAAATTTTTCTAAATACATGCCACTGTTAAATTTTTTTTCTAAAGTTCTCTCTTGATGTCAAAATTTGATGTAACAGAAATGTATATATTCCAGTTTAAGCAATCCAAAAGCTGCTGCACTAATAAAACACATGAAAACATCAATGAAGGAGAGCAGGCTTTATGTTCTAACCCAAAATGGAAAAATTCTAAGGCCAGAGCTGCAAATATTAGAAAAGTGAAAGTTCACGTACAAAAAGGATGACAAAAAATTTTGTTTCTAATCTAGGAAGGCATTAGATTCTAAAAAGGAAATATACATAAGCAAAGATATGTATCTGCGTTGAATACAAGACTCGGGGGGAAAAGTACAACACTGGGAACCAGAACTACCTATACAAGGTATTGCAGCCCTAGCCAGGTCGCTGCAGCTCAGGGGTTCTGGTCCTTCGCTTTCTGGCGAGTTACACTGGAATACTTACCCTTCTTACAGAGATCAGATGTGTTTAAGTGCTTTGACTTTCAGGGAAAGCGGGGGTGGGCTGGTGGGAAGGCGGTTACTGGATAAACGCAAAGCCGCCTCACTGCTTCCCAAACACGGTCGTACAACACGCTTTCTCCTGCCTCCTGCTCTGCTCGCTGGATTCACATTTCGGCCACAGAACTGAAGTGTGCAGTGCTTAGTGGGAAACTGCTTCGCCGAAGGCTACTACCCCTCTCGGCCTGACGCGCAGGTCCGCGTCCCCGAAGCTGCCAGGGTCTCCGCTTTCCCGGCCTGGCTCAGCCGCGGGCTGCGATCACGGCTCCACCTGGCCTCGGGCCTGGGCCGGACCCCGTCCTCTCGCCCTGCAGGCGGCCGCCCCCACCCGGATGCTCCGGGGCAGGCAGGCGCACCTCTCCGGGGCAGGTGTGGGAAGGCGGCCGGCGGGAGCAGCTGTCCGGGCGCGCC